TAAAAATCGACGTGTTTCAGAAAGGCGGGGCATAGAGGAGAAACAATAATGTACAGTATGTGGAAAATGATGTGTTTTTTTAACCTTAAACCGCATAAACACATTTCATTACACCAAATACACAAAATAATGTTATTTTTAGCAACATCATATGACCCCTTTAAATATGGATATTTTTCTTACACAAATGCATCAATTCACTTCAGAAGGCCTTTATTAACCCCCCAGAGCCATGTGGAGTACTTTTTATGAAGGATGGATGCACTTTTTTGGGCTTCAAAATCTCAACCCCCATTCACTGCCAGTATAAAGCTTGGAACAGCCAGAACATTTTTTAATATAACTCCGATTGTATTCTGAAAGAAGAAAGTCATATTTACATAGGACGGCTTGAGGGTGAGTAAATCATGGGGTAGTTTTCATTTTTGATTGAACTATCCCTTTAAACTGTTTGACTTGGCCTATCTTAGTAGATTTGTAGAAACTCGTTTTTTAAATATTAAAGAATGATACTGGTTTCAGTTGTCGAATGAATCGGTTGGTTGAATTAATCAATGACTCGATAACACTCCCATGCATCTGCTGGAGAAATGATGACATATAACCTGCAGAAAGTTAGGGCCACAAAACGAATCAGTTAATGAACCGTTTTAGTGAACAAATTCAAAAGATTCGAGTCACTGAGGTGAATCAAACACCTCAAGTTGTTTCTTGGATCAGAAATGTTTATTTTATTTTTTTTACTTTTACTTAAACTAAGTTTTAAACTTAATTTATATAAACTTAAATACAGGTTACACTAATCACGAATGCTGTGGGTTGTTAATTACTGAGAGCGCGCTGATGACGCTTGATTAAGAGGTGGAGGAAGAGGAGGAAGAGGAGGAGATGGAGAGACGCGCAGCTCCTCCCACGGGCTTTCGGATCGGATGGATTTACTTACTGAATGTCTTCGGTGAATCACAATCCTCCAAACACGACGTGAAAACACGCTATATTGAAATAAATCATATAAACCATCTCGCTGGTGATCGTGCCAGACAGACTGAATTTGAAACGCCGCGCACTGACGGAACTTTAATGTAGTTTAATTCCAATAATATCATATACCTTGATAAGTCGAGAGTGCTGAATGTCTGTTTAACATCTAGAGAAAGAGAAAGACAAACTACAACACAAGTTTAAGCGGAGAAACCTGGAGAAAAAGAACTCAAGGACCTGCGCTGACCACCTTGCCGACGAGAAGGTTAGTCTGGATAAGAAGCCTGTACTTAAGCATGTTTACTATCACGTGCATGTAGTACGTTTACAGTTTGTCATTTGCTTTTAAATATTATGTTTTTATTGCAACATATAATCAAGAAGTAAACGAAGCCACGTTTCGTTTATCTGAAACTTCTTTTAATCTGAGTTCCCTTACAAAAAAACTATGACTGTTCAATATTAGATGGCAGTACTATGCCACTTTTATCAATTTAATGGTTTTTATTTTATAAACTCATACATACTGATGTACAAATGTTTTTGGTGAAAGCTTCATTATGTAAGTCTGTTCTAACAATTATTCTTCACTTTAAGTTATAAATACTCAATGTATATTATCTGTTTACAGTATATATAGCGGAGATGGGGTAAGTTGTCACAGTTTTTACTCTAAAGTGGGGCATGTTGTCACAATGGAATATGCCTATTATAAATTTTTCAGCAAAATTTAAGCAGTGAAACATTTCTAAAGCATGACAATTAAATACAAATATTCTAATTTACACATTAATAAATTGCTAATTTGTTAATATATTTCAAGTTTTTTGATATTATATGCAAAGCAATACATTTGAGTAAAACAAAAAAGCCAAATTAAAAAACAAATGAAAGAAAATAAATTTCTGAATTCTAAACCCTAAACCCATGTGACATCTTGTCCCAAGTGCCTCGACCTGGGTTTATGAAAAATGCTTGTCCTGAGAACACAGTTCAACTTCTCAGTTCTACCTTTACTATACAGTTTACTATAGTTATAGTTAGCTCTTGTTTGAATGTATGCTAGTGTGATTTTATGATGTGAAATTTTTGCCCAACAGCTATAAAAAATAATGTTCATATTGATATTTTAGGAGGACAGAATTCACCAAAATTATTCTAATTTATAAGTGTTTTGAATTAGCAGTTTAACATATTCTCAGTGGCTTATGGGTTTCCAGTTGTTTATGGTGCTGCCAGAATCTCATGAGAGCGGAGCATTTCTCTTAAGCTTCAAAGGTTTTGGGCTGAATGTTGAGGGAAGTGGTGCAGACCACTCCTCAGTAACGTCAGAGAGAGAAAGGACTAACAGCAGGGCAAAATGGAAGTGTTTTGCAAAAGACGGGAACTACCAGATGGAGGGTGTTGGATGTTGATGTCTTTCATCTTCTTCACACCAAAGCTCTGACTGTAGACCATATCAGGTCTCATGAGAGACTATTGCCTGAGTTCACCTTTATTCTGGTGTCAGCAGTGATGCTGAGGCACAAATAAGGTCTATGTATCATATTTCACTCCTGTTATGACATCTGCGTCAGGTACCGTCATTATTAGTTCTCCACAACAACCAATGTTTAACATCCAAACTATGAGATTGTTGGTTCTCAGAGCCTGTGAGAAGGTGCCAAAACAAAAGCAGCATATGAAGAGAGATAAACGAGGTTGTCTTTGCTCACTTATCTCAGAAAAATCCACAGAGGGCCCACCAGAGGAGTGGGAATACAAAGGGCTTGTTTCATCCCTGGGAAAGTAAACCTTCCTCCCTGTGGTGGATCCATCCAACCTGTTGGATGATTTCCCACAGAAACTTCCCAAAGTCGTTTTACTCATTCTTCAATATGTCACCGCTGTTCTGCACTGTCTAATCAGAAGCTAATCAGAATCACTAAATGTCTTTCTATTTTCAGACTTTTGAATCATGCATGAGTCCTTGAATAGAAACAGAGTTCATTTTTTGTTAATGTCATGCTGGAGTTAATGAGAGTTTCTGGACTCGAAATCTGAGGTGAGGAACGCTGGAGGAATGAGCTGTTTGTGATTGGAAAACAGACAGTATTGTCGTATCCCAAGTGTTGTTGTCATATTGTTGTCAAATTAAATTCTGGCATCATTTACTCGCCTTTATTATGTTTTTCCAAACCAGCATGGCTTAATTTGCAAAAGGAGATATTTTTCAGAATGTTCCTGTTGCTCTTTTCATTTTTTTTTTTTCATGATTTGTAATGTGCAATGATATGCAATTTTATTGTCTTTTACATTTTTTGTGCTCAAATATTGAAAATTATTTTTAAATGATTAGATTATATTTTATTAGATTTAGAAACGCTATAAATACAATTATTATTATATATTTTTAAATGATTTTATAAGTTGTTATTGGTCATTGTGTACAGCGTACAATGGATGCTCATTTCCCTGCCATATAAATCCAGTTAATCCTTGTGTTCTGAAGTGATCACTAGTAGAGATGTTGGTGATAATTCGCTTTCCTGGTAGACGCTGACCCCCGTTCCCCTACCCGGTTGGCAAGGCTTCTGAACTGGACACTAGCCATTAGTTCTCTGTAAAATCCCACCCAGGAACAAACAATGAGTATGTTTGTGCACATGCTGCTGTGAAGTGTCTGAAAATAGCGTTCTGGATGTCTCAGTCAGATGTTAAGCATCCAAACTGCTGAATAGAAAGAGTTGCAGTTTTGTACACTATTATTCAAAAACTTGGGGTCGGTAAGATGTTTAAATTGTTTTGAAGGAAGTCTTTTATGCTCACCAAGGCTGAATTTATTTGATCAAAAATACAGTAAAACAGTATTATAGTGAAATATTACCAAATATTTTAATATATATTTTCTACTTTAATATATTTTAAAATTTACTTAATTTTTGTGATGGTAAAGCTGAATTTTCAGCATCATTACTGCAGTCTTCAGTGTCACTTGATCCTTCAGAAATCATTCTAATATGCTGATTTACTGCTCAAGGAACATTTGTTTTTTTGTGTAAAACATGAAACATTGTTTTCATGATTATTTGATGAATACAAAGTTTTAAAGAACAGCATTTATTTGAAATAGAATTGTCTTTACTGACACTTTTGATCAATTTTAAATGTTCTTGCTGAATGAGACTATTACTTTCCTTCAAAAAAGAAAACCTTGATAAGTTTTGAATGGTGGTGTAGATGATGAACAAATTTTTTTCACATATTTTAGATGCAGATCTGTGATGTCATTTGAAGTCTTGGGTGTGAAGTGCAACAGTAGGGTTTCAGAATTACAAATCCAATTCATTTTTTCAATATAGAAATCATTTTAATGATATTGTCAAAAACCTTTCAGGTCAAACCTTCCATGAGCTCAGAGACTGTAAATAAGAGTATTTAGAAGTGACAGCTTGATTTCTTCTTTTCAAGTTGTTTAATATTCCCATTGGAAAAAACTATATTACTCATAATCTTGAAGAGTGATTCCTTTTGGGTCCACTAATTAGAGAATTCGCTGTTACCGTGGAAATAAGAACTGCGCCAAAACAGCTTCCTCCCACTTGCACGAAACAATGCAAATGACATAAACAAGTCAGTGGCTGTATACTCTCAAACAACTTACATTAAACTGAATGTTTGGAAATTCATATTTGAATATTTTGCAATAAATTTAAAAAACATAAAATGTAGAGTTGTAGCATTTGTTGCAGTACATTTAAAATGTTATATTTTATACACTTACAAAATAACGTATTTTATACGTCAATCAATGACTGTAAGTCAGTAATTTTATATTGTCTTTTATTCAATTGTGAATTTTGCAATGCTTCATGGGCTGTTCAGTTTTCAAACACTTTTTGTTTCAAATCAAAGTTTGCAATTTTATGGCTCATCTCTGAGCAAGTTGGCTTGATTCATGGCCTATAAATTTAGCTTAAAAATACATATGTAGAAAATGAATGGGGGGGAAAACACTTCTAGACCCAAGGCTGCTGAAAAAGTCCATTGCATTTGGCCCCCTGGTCACTTGAGGAGACTGTCTGGAGTGAGACAGGAAATTAAGCAGACAGAATGTAGCTTCCTGTTTCTGGCAATCGTACCTGTCGGGAAAGTCCAACAGCCGTGGAAGGGCAAGAGGGTCTGCAGTTAGAGCTGGCAGGAATAGGGCTCAAAGTAGCATGTTCGAGAATTCAGGCTTTTGTAAGTCTTTAAAGCTCATGGAAAGCTCAGTGCCATGGAAACAGGCTGGAGCAGGAAGCCCCACACCAACACAGCTACGTACACACTTGCTTACATTATACACTACCTCTCTTCTGCTCAAGTATGTGTCTGCCACTGTGAACACTGAGAGATACGGTTTCAATGGATTTATGAAGAATGTGTATTAATATTGAGGTGGAAGGATCTGTTTTACTCTTCCATAAGTCATGTAGCGGCTTCTGACTCTGAGTGTGATAGGAAGACATAATAACACCGAGAAGGTAAGTTTGAGTTTATGTATGTAATTTTAAAAAATCATACACACTACAGTCCACGTTGGGATTGGTAAGATTTAAAAAAATGTTTTTGGAAGTCTTATATGCTCACAAAGGTTGCATTCATATGATCAGAAATACTGTAAAAACAGTAATATTGTGAAGTATTATTATTATTAATAATATGATTGAATATTATACATTTTAAAACGAAATTTTCAGTATCATTACTCCAGTCTTCAGTCACATGATCCTTCAGAAATCATTCTAATGTGCTGGTTTACTCAAGAAACATTTATAATCATTATTAATGTTGAAAACAGTTGTGATATTTCATATTTTCGTAGAAACCATGATACATTTGATGAATAGAAAGTTCAAAAGAACAGTATTTATTTAAAATAGAAATATTTTGTAACATTATATATGTCTCTGTTTCCAATATATGTTTCTGTTTTAATTGATTGAATGCAACCTTGTTAAATAAAAGTTATTTAAAAAAAAAAAAAAAAAAGAACTCTTACGGACCTAAAACTTTGGAACGGTAGTATATCTGTCTTGTATTTACAGTGAACTCCCCAGGTGTAGAGCTTCTTCAACCTGAACTCAATGAACTTTTGCACTGTAACACTTTAACTCTGTAGACCATCTTCTCTTTTTTTTTTTTTTTTTTTTGTCCATACAATGTAAGTCAGTGGGACTAAGTTGTTGTTGGCACACCAACATTCATCAAAATATCTCCTTTTGTGTTCCACAGAATTTTACAGGTTTGGAACAACATGAGGGTGAGTGAATGATGACAGAATGGCTGAACTGTCACTAATAGGGCAACAGATGTGATGTTAACATCAGGTCCATGATGTGTGTGTGTGTGTGTGCTCTGCCCCAGTCAGACTGTCACACCAGAGTGCTAACTTGCTCAGACAGGGCCATTTTCAACAGGAAGACATGTCTGATAGAGATAATGACTTCTTTTGTTTGAAACAATATTGTCTTTTTGTAGGTGAACACAGGATGCATGTGAATGATTTAACCGGTGCGTTGCAGTCTAAGTGCTGTATGCAAAACCCAACAAAGGACAGTACATCAAATCTAATCACCGATACTAAAGGGGTTATACTAGTCTTGGTCATGCAGCTGGAAGTGTGGAAAAGAGGAACACAGATGCTTTCATATTCTCATGCATTCATTTGAGCATTTTCATACTGATTTGTAACACAGCCATCGTGACTTGAAGAGCTGTGGTTATAGGAAGGCTTGTGAGGGATCATATGTTAATGTCTGTTCTGAATGAGTCAAAGGAATACGATTATTGTAGAATATGAAGCAGGATTTTTGAGGAAATGACTAATGAAGACTCGTAGTAGCTTGTTTGTGTATGTGAGGTGGGTTTTTGAAGATGCTAATGATATGCTAATCTGTCTGAGTGGGTGCTTCTTGGTGGACAAAGATCAAATCTGTGCTGGCTGTGTCTTGATAGCCCTCTTTAATTACTGTCATTGAAATCTGTTGTTTTTCATTGGAGCATCTGGTGTGGTAATGCTGGGTCAGTGGTTGACTTATGGGTTTGTGGTTTTATATGTTATGCGCTTGAGGGAAATCAATTATGCCTTTATATCATTCCAACAGAATTTCAGATGCTCAAAATAAGTTGGAATTAAAATAACCTCAGGTTTTACCAGTCTTTTTATTTATTAATTACATAAAGCATTTAAAGCAATTTAAGAGAATAAAGAAAAACAAAGAAGAGCAATAAAATAATTAGAATTTATTGCCAAGCAATCAATTAGAATTTTTTTAAATAATATTTTTATTTTAAATTACACACATTTATATTTACATATTCTCTCTATTGTATACCTAAGAGCCAAAAATGGCTCTGTTAATGTTTCTTGTCTTGTCACATTTGGTTATTCATTACATGAATCATGTAAATGACAGCCTATGCGTTTGAATTAAAAGTGTGACATTTGACTAAATAGTTGAGTAGTTTTCATGACTACATATTATTGTCGGTCTTTCAACATTTCTATTTTAAAACTGTTGTCAGATATTAAATATTTAGCTACTTACATCTTACTCTGCAATCTTTAACTGCTAAAACTGAAGCGTCCTGCATGAATTCATGTAAACAGTATCATCCAAAATTCTTTGATTTGATTGGCCATCTCAATCATTTTGACATTGATCAGTACTTTTAGACCACTGGACACACTTGGAATCAGAAGTAGTAGTTAAAGAAACGTCAGACTACCAGTACATTGTCTCCAAATTGTTCTTCAACCAGCCTTTAAAGGTTTGTGATTGACATTCTGCTGAACTGAACTTTGGGACTATGGTGACCTGTAGACTGACAGAGAAGGCTGCTTTGACTCTGTCGGGTCGCATTTGAATATCTGATTCTGTAAAATCTGGAATTCTGTATGTGTCTCTCACAGCTCATAATCAAAGAGCTGCTGTCACACAGAGTCCTGTAGGACCTGCTCTCAACCTCAGATGGGCCGTTCGCTGACCATCAGATGCAAATTACTCCACAAAACTGCCAAGAATTGTCAGTGATCCAGCTAAGTCTTATCTGTTTAGACAGGTTGGTGGCATAACTGCATGTTTTTCATTTTGGAATTATTTGTATGTCTAAAATAATCAGTACTTACTACTTTTGGATGAATAGAAGCAGAAAGTGTACATAAAATTCTGCTAATTTTCGAATAAAGATGCACCATTATTTAAATTTAGCTTGATACCAATAAGCCGGTAATTATTATGTTATGGTCAATAACCGAAAAAAGGCTGATAAATGTTACTTTTTTGTATAAATTAAAAATAAAAATAAAAGCTAAACGTAAACTCTTTTAATAAACTGTAAAATCCTTCAAGTGATGAATCCATCTCAAAATAAGAATATCCAAAAACAAAAATGTACGTAAAAACGTTTGTTAAATGCTGTCAGTGGTCTTGCCGTTGTTTTCAGTTGCAGTTTGATATCATTTCCTGTATTACCCATGATGGTGTGATTATGAAAAGATTTTGTACTTTGTATTTCATTTGGCATAAAATGACATTGTTAATGGACATTACTGTCGAGTTTCCCAGACTCAAAGCTAAACGGCTAAATCCTCAACTCGGTTTTTCAGTGCAATATCAACACCGACAGTGTAATTTAGTTGAAGACAGGGTTTCATCTCAGTGTTTTGTTACGGATAGGCCTAATGTCGTTTCTCACAGATGTGTCTCGTTCCTGCAGGTCTGCAGTGTGTGAGTGGGATGTCTGCAGATCTGTGGCCTGACTATGGTGAAACACCAACCGTTACAGGTGTATGAAAGACAGCTGTGTTTGTCCTGTCTGACCGGGATCTACGGCTGCCGCTGGAAACGGTACCAGCGCTCCCATGACGACAGCTCCAAGGTAACCACAGCATCATCCTTTGTGGGAGAAGCCATTATATTCTAACTCCATAAAGACCGAATGAAGACGATAGAGGCAAAATTGACACTGGCCTGTTGAGTAATTGACCTTTTGCAAAGCTCCGCCTTAAAAATGTTACAGACCGATCATGTAGAAACGTGGTGGTCATTTACACTAATGTTATCACTTGTAATCACTCTCAAATGAGGCTTTTCTCTGTTCAAGTTGACTTGAAATACATTTGACTAGATTTTGGTTTGTAGTTTCTGTCGTTTTTTTGGTCAAGTTATGGTGCAATTTAACAGTTTCTTTAAAGAAACGGCTAATAAAATATGCAATATCAAACTTTATTCCAGCCCATGTAAGAATAGTGTGATGGATAATAATTTCGATGGGAAGATGTGTAACGCTTGAATGAGCGGCCAATTATAACCGAGGAGGCGGAGCTTAGAAAAGTGTCAGTTGTCATTTATGATTCCCACACCTCTGTATCATAGTTATGGATCCACTTTGATGATCCCGATGCTTTTCTCTGGTCATTTTTGTCTGTGTCTGGTCATTAATATCTTGTTCGATATTTGTTTGAGGCAGACAGCAGAACCAAAGAACAACTTGGCTGTCTGTAATGAAGCAAAATGCTTTCTCCTCTGCTGTCTGAATGTCTCTCTATCAGACAGAGAGAAACTCAAGCCAGAGTTTCAGATTCCCTGGAGGACGTGTTGTAGGTCAATTCCAATCTGTATACAACACAGTGAGAGGCTTAGTTAGGTCTCTCTGTCTCCCTTTGACTTGTCCGTTCAATGTCCGGTGACACCAAACTGGATACTGACATTATTTTGTAAAGTTATTCAAGCAGAAATGCCCGTTATTTTAACCGCGCATCCATTTCAGCCCAGTGATCAAATGTTCTGACCTGAACTAAGCCACAGTCAGATTGAAAATCAACCCTTATCTAATCTTTACCTAAGGTCCTCTAATATTCATAGGGTATCAAGCTTAAATGTACAGTGTACAATCACCTTCCGTTAAAATAATCACATTTTGTTGCTTTGCAGCCTGAAATGAAGATGGACACAGTTTTTGTTTTATCCAGCTGTATTTACTCAGTGCAACTTATAACATCCAAGTGAAAGATATAACAACAACATTTTGTTGAACCACCTTTTGCTTTAATTACAGCCTTTAGTCTTTTGTGGTTGCACATCTTCTGAAGTTCAGTTAAATTCAATGGTGACTGTTTGTGGACTGCAGTGTTCAAGTCATTCCACAGATTTTCAATGGAGTTTTAGTCTGAGCTCTGACTAGGCCATGCAAGGACATTCACCTTTTTCTCCTTCAACCACTGTGTGCTCAGTTTTGCTGTGTGCTTTGGGTCATTATCATGTTGGAAAGTAAACCTTCTTCCCATTAACAACTTTCTGGCAGAGGGCAGCAGATTTTCCTCAAGAATTTGACAGTATTTTGCCCCATCCATTTTTTCCTTCTATCCTGACCAGTGTTCCAGTCCCTGCTGCAGAGAAACACCCCATAACAGGATATTACCACCTCCATGCTTTACTGTAGGAATGCTGTTATTTGGATGGTGAGCTGTATTGGATTTCTGCAAGACATATCGTTTGTGGTTGAGGCTAAATAATTAAATTTTAGTCTCATCTGTCTCAGAATCTTCAAGGTGTGTTTTGGCAAAGCTCAGTCGTGACTGCTTGTGGCCATTCTTGAGGAGTGGCTTTTTTCTTGCAACCCTCCCATAAAAGCCACATTTGTGGAGAATTTGTGATATTGTTGTCACATGCACACAATGACCACTCTTTGTCATAAATTCCTGCAGCTGCTTCAGAGTTGCTGTAGGCCTCTTGGTCGCCTCTCTGACCAGTATCCTCCTGGTTCTTTCATCCAGTTTGGAGCGACGTCCTAATCCAGGGAGGGTCTGTGTCGTACCAAATACCTTCCACACTGTGTTTCTAGGCATTGATACAGCCTTTGAATTTTTTTTGAATCCATCTCTTGACTTCTGCCTGTCCACAACTTTATCCCAGAGATCTTTTGACAGTGCCATTAGGCCATGTGTGATCAAACGACCATTCGAAAATATTTGTCAACAATTTTTATTGTCGACGTTGTAGACCATACATAGTTTTTACTGTGCAACCAGCAGTATTCTAGTATTCAGTTCCGATCTGTCTGGTTTGAAGCTTGCGATGATTCAGTTTATGGGTATTTGTTCTTTGTTTTCACCTCCCTACAAGTATAAATGCTCCTTCAGGAGTGAACACACACACACACAAACACACACGGCCATTAGTTCAACTTTCCATTTGAACAGGCTCTCTGAAGTAGCACCTCGGCACTGAGAGCGAACTCATCAGAAGCTGCGTGATTGGCTGTCTTACTTTGTGTCATTACTGCTAGCCCCGCCCACTCTATAATTAAAGCAGGGTGACGATGTGTCCTACCCGATGTGCCCATGGAGGAGCTGATTGGATTGAGGGATTAGCAGCTGTCAGCTGTGCAGAATGAATGAACAGAACAGTGAAATGTGTCCTCCGCTGTACAGTGACTCCGCCACAATCCACAGACCAATAAAACACGAGTCAGTCCATTATTCAGTTCTCTGTCAGGGTGTGTGGAATCACCAGAAAACTATATGAGAGCTGTTATTATTGGGAATTGCATTTAATGCATGTCAGATGACTGTTGTTGTGGTCTTAGAAATGTCAGAGTTGGTGAAAAGCTTCATTAGTGCAAATGTTGAGTTTTGTTGGAAATATTAGTAATTGATCTCCATATTCATAATGCAGTTATGTTACCTTTCAGTTTTATTTGTTAAATTGTCAGTCAGCGGTGAAATGGGTGAATTGGGGTCATCTGGGACATTCAGTGATGTGGATTGACTAGCTCTGATATGTATATTTCCAATGCTTTTTTAAAAAGAAATTAATACTTTTATTGAACAAGGACACATTTAATTGATCAAAAGTGACAGTAAAGATATTTGCAATTATTACAGAAGATTTTTGGTTAAAATAAATGCTGTTATGTTGAACTTTCTATTCTTCAAAGAATCCAGAAAAAAATGTATCGAGGTTTCCAGAAAAATATTAAGCAGCACAAGAAATGTTTCTTGAGCAGTAAATCAGCATATTAGAATGATTTCTGAAGGATCATGTGATACTGAAGACTGGAGTAATGATGCTGAAAATCAACTTTGCCATTACAGTAATTAATTACAATTTAAAATATATTAAAATAAAAAACAGTTTTTACTGTATTTTGATCAAATAAATGCAGCCTTGGTGAGCATAAGAGACATTTTCTTCAAAAACATTAAAAAATCATTAGCAAATCAAAACATTAGGATATTCTAGCTGGGTTGTAATGTAAGGTGATGGCGTGAGAATCACAGTAAATTACAGAAAGTTACCCTAATTCACCCTGCATCTGAACAAAACACAGAATCTCAGGACGTGGTCATTAGATCATTAGATCTGTTTCACACCTCCACGGGAACAAAAGGTCTTTTGGGGTTCTGAAAGGGTGAGTGCCAGCAAGATGCAAGCCATCTGATCTGCTAACTGAACATAGATGCCTCTCTGCACCTTGTGTTACCCAATGGATTATTATACTGCAAAATCATATACACACTATTTTTTGTGTTGAAGTGTTGAGTGCTTGAGGTTCATGAAAATTAGAATCAACAGTTTTCTTGGGCAAAAAAAAATTTGAGCGGAGGCCGGCGGGCTAGAGTGAGCGGAGGCGGGCGGTCTTGAGAACGGCGCGGCCGGCGGATTTGACGAAGGAGCCTCCGGCGGGCTTGCGTCAACCACATGTGACGACCCCGGGCCGGACTCCGCCTTGTCCACGGTGAAAGCTGATCTGACGATCCACAGCGCGAAGTTGATGTATTGGGCGGTGTTATGTAAATCTTCCCACATCGTGACGTAGACGTGGGGGAGTGTTAGAACGAGCCGTTTTAGGTAGACAGGGTTGACTCTTAACTTTTATAAAGAATATCTCTTTGGATTTGAGACTTTAGTCTTTGCAACTTTACAGATCTTCTTTATGCACCAAGAGCTTGTAACACTTCAAAGAGAAAGGAAAAATTTAAATCGCATCATATGACCCCTTTAATTAAAAAACTGAATAATTAGTTACATCCTTGCCCAAATGAAATCTGATATCTGACAGATTCAGTACTGAAACTCCAGCCATTGTGAGATAGTTTCAGGTGTTGATGCTTTTCCTGCTAACAAGCCTGTGAGCTCATGTCATTTAACACACACATCAGGGAAAATTTTATTTTTATTGTTTATTTATATTTTTGAAGTAACTCTTTTCACTATCAGCATCAGGTGAGCTGAGACTCTTAAAATTCATGTGGTCATATAGGCCTCTCTCTCTCTCTCTCTCTCTCTCTCTCTTTTCTGAAAGATCTCACTGTGCTGAAAATGTTCCATTGCTGCTGTAATTCTCTGTGAAACACTGCGTAGTTTCTAATGTGAAGGAATTTAATTAAATTCACATTTTATCATGCTCTATAAAACTGTAAGGCATCTTAAAAGCTACGTATTTGATCTCAGTGGCTTTTTACATCCCCTGCCACACATGATATGTGATAAATGAGTACCGATTGTAAAGTCCTAGGGTTTCAGATGTGAACATGTTGTGAAGAATATAAAGACAGATATTAAATGTCCCAATTTGGAACATATAAATAAAAAATAAAGTCTGTTAGGACTGCCACCGACAGGCTGGATGATCGATTAATTGCCTGTTTGTCAGTCTGCCATGTCTGTCTTGTTGTGTTCCTCACAAGTTTGGATAAAAGCATCTGCTAAATGAACAAATGTGCACATCTGTCTGGAAGGCATGTGTGTTTACATCACTTCCTGTTTTTGTTTTTCAGTGGGAATGTTCATGGTTCTTCATCCTCTGCTGTTCATTTCTCCTTCTCCTCGTCTGGTCCTACTTTTGGTTGGAGGCTCATAATGACTACAACGAGTTCAACTGGTGAGTTCAGCCTGAGATTTGGCGGAACCTGCTGTTTTAGATGTGACATCAGCAGGTCATTAACTCTGAACCCTGCTGTGTGTCTTCACCACGAAGCTGACATCAAACCATGATTGCACATTTCATTACTAGAGCATGTTTTATGAGTTTACTAGTTTGATTGCGAGGTTTACTCTTAGTTATTTTGATAAACATGGATTGCTTAACAAGTTTCTGAATTAATTTTATACACTAAGCATTGGAAAACATCATGTGCTTAGCATGCTCTGTTTTTTTTTTTTTTCTTTCTGTTGATGGTTTTGTTTCTCTGGCAGGTTGTTATATAATCGTTCAGCCATTTGGAAGGATGGCACAGTCCCTATTCTCGCCGCAACACTCACAGGATTCACTTACACTGCATTTTTAATGGTGAGCACTCTTAACACGAACATGTGACAGAGAAAGTGAGCAGTGGTTTTAACTTTTTATTGAAAATTATTGTTGTTATAATTATGTAGAAAATACTATATAATATCTATATAAGTGAGTAAGATCATCAGTTAAATGTGTTTTTTTATCATTACTTTTATTCGTTTTTATGTATTTAATTTTTTTTAATTATTTTATTTTATTTATAATTTTCTGTTGTATTTTATTATTATTATTATTATTATTATTTATTTATTTATTTTTTCAGATTCTTGCACTTTGTCACATTGTACTGGGACAGCAGCTTAATTTGTACTGGATCCATAAGGTGAGATAAGTTTATAAATCGGTTTAACTTTTGAGCTAGACTGGGGTTCTTCATCTATATTTAAACAAGTTTTATTTTGCACAGATTGTAGTTCTGGCTATTCTGCTCACCACCATAACAGGAGTGGTGTTCATTGATGATTTCTGGCAGGACGAATGGGACATTGTCATCATTTCTCTGCAGGTTGGATCAACCTCATCAGCATATTACTGTCCAGTGTCTTGAGGTCTTTCTTGACAAATAATTTAGGCTTTGTCCTGATGTGATCAGTGACTTGTTGTAGTTCACAGGGCCGTTCTTACACATCGGGGCTTTAGCTGTGGTCACAGCATTAGGTTGGGTCATCGCCGGTCAGGTGGTCCGTGTGGAAAGATCAAGTGAGTTGAAACGTCATGTGAGGGGAAATGGCAGTTCGGGTCAAAGCCTGGCCGACCCCTACACCTATTTGAATTTGAAATATATGTACACTACCATACAAAAGTTTTGGGTCAGTACTTTTTTGTGATCAAGTAAATGCAGCTTTAGTGAGCATATGAGATGCACCAACCCCAAACTTTTAAACAGTTGTGTTTACATTTTGACACTTTTTTTTTTTTTTTTTTT